GTAGGACGTGGACATGCCAGGGTTGTTTAAGGGAGCAACTATGTTTAAAGTGTGAGATATACCTTGTCACAATGTAGGACGTGGACATGCCAGGGTTGTTTAAGGGAGCAACTATGTTTAAAGTGTGAGATATACCTTGTCATCATGTAGGACGTGGACATGCCAGGGTTGTTTAAGGGAGCAACTATGTTTAAAGTGTGAGATATACCTTGTCATCATGTAGGACGTGGACATGCCAGGGTTGTTTAAGGGAGCAACTATGTTTAAAGTGTGAGATATACCTTGTCATCATGTAGGACGTGGACATGCCAGGGTTGTTTAAGGGAGCAACTATGTTTAAAGTGTGAGATATACCTTGTCATCATGTAGGACGTGGACATGCCAGGGTTGTTTAAGGGAGCAACTATGTTTAAAGTGTGAGATATACCTTGTCACAATGTAGGACGTGGACATGCCAGGGTTGTTTAAGGGAGCAACTATGTTAAAAGTGTGAGATATACCTTGTCATCATGTAGGACGTGGACATGCCAGGGTTGTTTAAGGGAGCAACTATGTTTAAAGTGTGAGATATACCTTGTCATCATGTAGGACGTGGACATGCCAGGGTTGTTTAAGGGAGCAACTATGTTTAAAGTGTGAGATATACCTTGTCATCATGTAGGACGTGGACATGCCAGGGTTGTTTAAGGGAGCAACTATGTTTAAAGTGTGAGATATACCTTGTCATCATGTAGGACGTGGACATGCCAGGGTTGTTTAAGGGAGCAACTATGTTTAAAGTGTGAGATATACCTTGTCACAATGTAGGACGTGGACATGCCAGGGTTGTTTAAGGGAGCAACTATGTTTAAAGCGTGAGATATACCTTGTCATCATGTAGGACGTGGACATTGTAACGACATCCTGCATTGGTTGTATTATCAGCCATACATATGCGAAACATACATCATCGCAACATCTTCATTAAACGTTTTTACAACATAAGAAATAGATGTTGCAAAAATGTTCTGCATAATTGGTTGTATTTTGGTTTACACACAACGTTGTAGCAACAAATCTGGGAGTCTACAGATTTGTATTGTGTCATTGTAACCTCACAACGTTGTCACAACGTAGAATTGTTTGCTGGGTGGTCATATAGTACACAGGTCAAGGGTCAAGGATAAGCACAGAAGAGGGTTGTCGTAAGTGCACAGAACTGTCTAAAATTTGAAATGATATGAAATTATCTGAATAGAAAAGTAGCACATTAAGAGCAAACTCTGTAAGTAATCTCCCTGTAAATAACAACAAACAAACCTCCAAAAACATTAGCTGATAATAATATAACTGAAAAATAATCCATCACAGATTTCAAGATCAATTCCTTTGATGGATGTGAACCCAATCATTCAGCAATGAAACTGATTTACTGTAACAAAACTAGCCACAGAAAAGATACATCAACCTGGCCAATTGTTAGTGCCCTCCCCACACCACTACCCCGGACACCGACCCCCACACCACTACCCTGGACACCGACCCCCACACCACTACCCTGGACACCGACCCCCACACCACTACCCCGGACACCGACCCCAACACCACTACCCTGGACACCGACCCCCACACCGCTACCCCGGACACCGACCCCAACACCACTACCCCGGACACCGACCCAAACACCACTACCCCAGACACCGAACCCAACACCCCTACCCTGGACACCGACCCCCACACCACTACCCCAGACACCGACCCCAACACCACTGCCCCGGAAACCGACCCCAACACCACTATTCCGGACACCGACTCCAACACCACTACCCTGGACACCAACCCCCACACCACTACCCCAGACACCGACCCCAACACCACTGCCCCGGACAACGACCCCAACACCACTACCCTGGACACTGACCCCAACACCACTACCCTGGACACTGACCCCAACACCACTACCCCGGACACCGACCCCCACACCACTACCCCAGACACCGACCCCAACACCACTACCCCGGACAACGACCCCAACACCACTACCCTGGACACTGACCCCAACACCACTACCCCAGACACCGACCCCAACACCACTACCCTGGACACTGACCCCAACACCACATGAGAGCATGTCATCCTGACACACAATCTTTACCTCGGAGCAATGGATCCTCACTGATATCACCAAGTCTCCATGAACATATAGTAAAAGCCTTCCATCACAACACACACCACTACGGGCAGACATTCTCTCCCACTGACCAGCTACCTGTGTTAATACCTTAATTCTAATAAACACGGTATTAAGTAATTGTTGTACCTGTTTGTTGTATTACCTGTGGACAATCTCAGCCAGGTAATTCCCTCCATGACCCTGGTAGTCAGGCTGAGTAGCCCCCCCCCCCCCCCCCCCCCCAACACACACACACCAAACATGATCTCTTGGCCTAATCACCTTAATCTACTAGCAAGCCTATTGCATGCCTGGCTGACCACACAGCAGACAATGTTACAATGTTACAGCATGACTGTATCACCTCATATGCACACACAGCCCTTTCAGAAACGGCTAATTGCCCTACAACGTCACTTGCCACAAGTAAACTTGTATCTACCAGTAATCACCATGTAGTACAATATATGTCAACCAGTAATCACTACTGAGTACATTAGTATATATATAGTACAATATATATATATACAAACACACACCAGTAATCACCATGTAGTACAATGTATATGTCAACCAGTAATCACCATGTAGTACAATGTATATGTCAACCAGTAATCACCATGTAGTACAATGTATATGTCAACCAGTAATCACTACTGAGTACATTAGTATATATATAGTACAATATATATATACACACACACCAGTAATCACCATGTAGTACAATGTATATGTCAACCAGTAATCACTACTGAGTACATTAGTATATATATAGTACAATATATATACACACACACACCAGTAATCACCATGTAGTACAATGTATATGTCAACCAGTAATCACTACTGAGTACATTAGTATATATATAGTACAATATATATACACACACTCACCAGTAATCGCTACCTAGTACATTACTATACATATAGTACAATATATATACACTCACACACCAGTAATCACTACTTAGTACATTACTATACATATAGTACAATATATATACACACACTCACACACCAGTAATCACAAGTACATTAGTATATATAGTACAATATATACACACACACTCACACACCAGTAATCACTACTTAGTACATTACTATACATATAGTACAATATATATACACACACTCACACACCAGTAATCAGTACCTAGTACATTACTATACATATAATACAATATATATATATACACACATACCAGTAATCACTACCTAGTACATTAGTATATATATAGTACAATACATATATATACACACATACCAGTAATCACTACCTAGTACATTAGTATATATATATATATACACACACATACCAGTAATCACTACGTAGTACATTAGTATATATATATAGTACAATATATATATTTATCATATAATGGGTAGGTTTCCCGGCAGGATAAAGCCAACGGATAAAAACGATATCCGTTGGGGTCATATGCAAATATCAAAGGTCAAGTATGACTACTTTCACTGTTTATAAACAAACATGGCGTCGCCCTCATCAGTCTAATATACTGAAAATCAGTGTCTAACTGTGACGTAGCTAAGGCATTTTATACGTTTTGGCAACTTTGGAGATATAAATTTCGAAACTATTTTGCGAGGGCACGAGGACTAGCCAAGCGGGATCAGTAGCCATATCTGTGCTTGTAGACCTCTGCGGCTTAAAACCTTCTCCCCAAATTAAAATAGTTGGATTTGGCTGAAATATGTTTGAATTGTTACCTTGTTTCGTTTTGTCGCTGTGTGTACATCTGACTACACTTCTTAACGTTATGACAGGACAGCCGACTGTCAACAACGTCTGACCGTGGCCGTGACGTCTCATAGACTAGGGTTAGAGTAGCTACCCTTTGACAAAGGGCAGTTACTCTAGCGGACAGACTGATGGATTGCTGCGAAATGCAAGTAAAAACAATTGTTTTGCGTATATGTTGCTTCGCCACTGTATAAGAAACAGATTTCAGTTGGAACTATATTGGCTACTGTCACTGTCCGACTGACACATCACTTACCCTGTGAGGAAATAAATATTAATGCGCGCATTCCAGGAAAACTCACAATGTTGCGGTAATGTTTGTGAGAGAGGGAAAGCGATTTAGAAGCACAGAATTAAAGAGTGACATTATATGATAAAGAGGTTATCACGCTTGTGTGTTTGGGGATGGTAAATATCCTGTATTAGGAATAAACACTATGTATTTAGCTCGCCAAGGTTCGCTAAATACAATGTTTATTCCTAATGCAGGATATTTACCATTCCCAAACACACTCGCATGATAACCTCTATATACACACATACCAGTAATCACTACCTAGTATATTAGTATATATATAGTACAATATATATATATATACACACATACCAGTAATCACTACCTAGTACATTAGTATATATATAGTACAATATATATATACACACATACCAGTAATCACAAGCACATTAGAATAAAAATAGTAAAAATATATATATACACAGACTCCGGTAATCACTACCTAGTACATTACTATACATATAGTACAATATATATACACACACACACACAAGTAATCACAAGTACATACATATATATATATAGTACTATATATTGACAGATTGACAGACTGATTAAGCTAAAACAAAGACTCGCCAAGCTACAACACACTCGCCAAGCTACAACACACTCGTCAAGCTACAACACACTCGCCAAGCTACAACACACTCGCCAAGCTACAACACACTCGCCAAGCTACAACACACTCGTCAAGCTACAACACACTCGCCAAGCTACAACACACTCGTCAAGCTACAACAAACTCGCCAAGCTAAAACACACTCGCCAAGCTACAACAAAGATTCACTCACCTCTGTTGGGGTGCTCCTGTCGGGAAGTGATGAAGCTGAGATACTCCAGGGCAGGAGCGTTCCCCATGGAGCCAGGAGCGTTACCAATGGAGCCAGGGGAACAGTTGCGGATGTTCTTGAAAAACTCCTACAAGAGAAGTGCAACAGCATTAACCAGAGCTGGTAAACAAGCTGTGAACATCCTTGACCTTCAAAGTCCATGTAGCAGTGTATGGTGCTAACATAAGATATTTCTATCTTGTTGCATGAAAACATCCTGGCCTGCTGTATACCTCCACACCCCCCATGTACCCTCCTCATACCACTATACCCTCGCCTACACCATCCACCCACACCCCCCATGTACCCTCCTCATACCACTATACCCTCGCCTACACATCCACCCATGTACCCTCCTCATACCACTATACCCTCGCCTACACCATCCACCCACACACCCCATGTACCCTCCTCATACCACTATACCCTCGCCTACACCATCCACCCATGTACCCTCCTCATACCACTATACCCTCGCCTACACCATCCACCCACACACCCCATGTACCCTCCTCATACCACTATACCCTCGCCTACACCATCCACCCACACCCCCCATGTACCCTCCTCATACCACTATACCCTCGCCTACACCATCCACCCACACCCCCCATGTACCCTCCTCATACCACTATACCCTCGCCTACACCATCCACCCACACCCTCCATGTACCCTCCTCATACCAATATACCCTCGCCTACACCATCCACCCACACCCCCCATGTACCCTCCTCATACCACTATACCCTCGCCTACACCATCCACCCACATTCACCCTCCTCATACCACTATACCCTCGCCTACACCATCCACCCACATCACCCATGTACCCTCCTCATACCACTATACCCTCGCCTACACCATCCACCCACATTCACCCTCCTCATACCACTATACCCTCGCCTACACCATCCACCCACACCACCCATGTACCCTCCTCATACCACTATACCCTCGCCTACACCATCCACCCATGTACCCTCCTCATACTACTATACCCTCGCCTACACCATCCACCCACACACCCCATGTACCCTCCTCATACCACTATACCCTCGCCTACACCATCCACCCATGTACCCTCCTCATACCACTATACCCTCGCCTACACCATCCACCCACATCCAGCCTGATCATCCATCCACCCCTTAACCTTACACCATCCACCCACATCCTATCCACCCTGATCATCCCTCCATCGCTCAACCACATCCCGTCCACCCTGATCATCCCTCCACCCTCAAACTACCACCCACTACCAGCACTCCCATCAACGGTACCCTCAACCTACCACCCACTCCCAACACTCTCCCATCAATGGTACCCTCAACCTACCACTCTCCCAACAATGGTACCCTCAAACCACCACCCACTCCCAGCACTCTCACATCAACGGTACCCTCTTCACAATAGTTCTACCGAATCAGACAGTACTCCCACATCAGTGCTACCCTCTTCACAATAGTTCTACGGAATCAGACAGTACTCACATCATCAAAGTCTAGCAATGAACCCAGTGAACCTCGCCTGAAAAAGAGGGAAGATTGTCAGTGACACAAACAACAAACCCTGCATGGAGCTTCAAAAACTGACACAGTAGAGGTGTGTTATGTCATGTCATCAGGAACCTGGTTCACCTGACACAGTAGAGGTGTGTTGTGTCATGACACCAGGTACCTGGTTCACCTGACACAGTACAGGTGTGTTGTGTCATGACACCAGGTACCTGGTTCACCTGACACAGTACAGGTGTGTTGTGTCATGACACCAGGTACCTGGTTCACCTGACACAGTAGAGGTGTGTTGTGTCATGACACCAGGTACCTGGTTCACCTGACACAGTAGAGGTGTGTTGTGTCATGACACCAGGAACCTGGTTCACCTGACACAGTAGAGGTGTGTTGTGTCATGACACCAGGTACCTGGTTCACCTGACACAGTACAGGTGTGTTGTGTCATGACACCAGGTACCTGGTTCACCTGATACAGTACAGGTGTGTTGTGTCATGTCATCAGGTACCTGGTTCACCTGACACAGTACAGGTGTGTTGTGTCATGACACAAGGTACCTGGTTCACCTGACACAGTACAGGTGTGTTGTGTCATGACACCAGGTACCTGGTTCACCTGACACAGTACGGGTGTGTTATGTCATGACACCAGGTACCTGGTTCACCTGACACAGTATGGGTGTGTTATGTCATGTCATCAGGAACCTGGTTCACCTGACACAGTAGAGGTGTGTTGTGTCATGTCATCAGGTACCTGGTTCACCTGACACAGTACGGGTGTGTTGTGTCATGTCATCAGGAACCTGGTTCACCTGACACAGTAGAGGTGTGTTGTGTCATGACACCAGGTACCTGGTTCACCTGACACAGTACAGGTGTGTTGTGTCATGTCATCAGGAACCTGGTTCACCTGACACAGTACAGGTGTGTTGTGTCATGACACCAGGTACCTGGTTCACCTGACACAGTAGAGGTGTGTTGTGTCATGTCATCAGGAACCTGGTTCACCTGACACAGTACAGGTGTGTTGTGTCATGACACCAGGTACCTGGTTCACCTGACACAGTAGAGGTGTGTTGTGTCATGACACCAGGTACCTGGTTCACCTGACACAGTAGAGGTGTGTTGTGTCATGACACCAGGTACCTGGTTCACCTGACACAGTAGAGGTGTGTTGTGTCATGTCATCAGGAACCTGGTTCACCTGACACAGTAGAGGTGTGTTGTGTCATGTCACCAGGTACCTGGTTCACCTGACACAGTAGAGGTGTGTTGTGTCATGACACCAGGTACCTGGTTCACCTGACACAGTACAGGTGTGTTGTGTCATGACACCAGGTACCTGGTTCACCTGACACAGTAGAGGTGTGTTGTGTCATGTCATCAGGTACCTGGTTCACCTGACACAGTACAGGTGTGTTGTGTCATGTCATCAGGTACCTGGTTCACCTGACACAGTACGGGTGTGTTGTGTCATGACACCAGGTACCTGGTTCACCTGACACAGTAGAGGTGTGTTGTGTCATGTCATCAGGAACCTGGTTGACCTGACACAGTACAGGTGTGTTGTGTCATGTCATCAGGTACCTGGTTCACCTGACACAGTACAGGTGTGTTGTGTCATGTCATGTCATCAGGTACCTGGTTCACCTGACACAGTACAGGTGTGTTGTGTCATGACACCAGGTACCTGGTTGACCCGACACAGTACGGGTGTGTTATGTCATGACACCAGGTACCTGGTTCACCTGACACAGTAGAGGTGTGTTGTGTCATGACACCAGGTACCTGGTTCACCTGACACAGTACAGGTGTGTTGTGTCATGTCATCAGGTACCTGGTTCACCTGACACAGTACAGGTGTGTTGTGTCATGTCATCAGGTACCTGGTTCACCTGACACAGTACAGGTGTGTTGTGTCATGTCATCAGGTACCTGGTTCACCTGACACAGTACAGGTGTGGTGTGTCATGACACTAGGTACCTGGTTGACCTGACACAGTAGAGGTGTGTTGTGTCATGACACCAGGTACCTGGTTCACCTGACACAGTAGAGGTGTGTTGTGTCATGTCATCAGGAACCTGGTTCACCTGACACAGTAGAGGTGTGTTGTGTCATGACACCAGGTACCTGGTTCACCTGACACAGTACGGGTGTGTTATGTCATGACACCAGGTACCTGGTTCACCTGACACAGAAGAGGTGTGTTGTGTCATGACACCAGGTACCTGGTTCACCTGACACAGTAGAGGTGTGTTATGTCATGTCATCAGGAACCTGGTTGACCTGACACAGTACAGGTGTGTTGTGTCATGACACCAGGTACCTGGTTCACCCGACACAGTACAGGTGTGTTGTGTCATGACACCAGGTACCTGGTTCACCTGACACAGTACAGGTGTGTTGTGTCATGTCATCAGGAACCTGGTTCACCTGACACAGTACAGGTGTGTTGTGTCATGACACCAGGTACCTGGTTCACCTGACACAATGCAGGTGTGTTGTGTCATGTCATCAGGAACCTGGTTCACCTGACACAGTACAGGTGTGTTGTGTCATGACACCAGGTACCTGGTTCACCTGACACAGTACAGGTGTGTTGTGTCATGTCACCAGGTAGCTGGTTCACCTGACACAGTAGAGGTGTGTTGTGTCATGACACCAGGTACCTGGTTCACCTGACACAGTAGAGGTGTGTTGTGTCATGACACCAGGTACCTGGTTCACCTGACACTGTACAGGTGTGTTGTGTCATGTCATCAGGTTCCTGGTTCACCTGCCACAGTACAGGTGTGTTGTGTCATGTCATCAGGAACCTGGTTCACCTGACACTGTACAGGTGTGTTATGTCATCAGGTACCTTGTTCACCTGACACAGCACAGGTGTGTGTTACGTCATGAGATCACAGTATACATACGGCGTGTCACTTGACCCCAGCAGGTGCTGTATGACCATCATGGAGTTGAGGGCATGCTGGTCGACGGAGCCCGTGGTATGACTGGCTGCCTGGGCAATACGAGTGTTGGCGTCACGCAGCGTGGCAGTATTTGTCTGTAAGATACCATTGTTTGCTTCACATGCTGACTGGACAGAACATCAACACATCAAGCAGATTAACTAAAGGTAAATATTTACTGCAAACACAAACAAAAATGAAAGCAATATAGAATTTATTACTCCACACAATAAATCAACAAGAGTCATCAGAAGGTGACAAATCCCCCCGGCACCCACAAATTCTAAAGAACAAATCATCTGACCTACCTCCACCTTTCAAAAACGTTTCCAATGAATTCGAAAAAAATAAAAATGCCCCAAATCCCTAAATAGCAAAATGCACCACTTCAGGATCTGTTTGATATATCTGCCAAGTTTTGTTAAAAAATATTGAACGGTTTTTGAGTTTGCTCCAGAAACAAAATGATTACAGACGGACGGACAGATGGAAGGACGGACAGACAGACAGATGAGGCATCGACTATATACCCCACATTATATGCCGGGTGCAGGGATAAAAATCTCCAAAAAATGTCCAGTACTAATGTTCCAGTGTGTTTTGTTTCCATCTGCTCACCCAATCTGTAGTCTTCCACTTCTGTCTGGCTGGCATCGGCGCCGTCTTCGGTCGACTTCCTGCTGACGAGGCGCCGGCTGACCTCATGGACCTTGGTCGTTGCAGCGTTTTCATGTATGTGTGACCTCCGAACCTGGTCTTGCCCCATCTACATCAACAGACACACGGACAGTGCATCAACTAACATAGATGAGGAGAAGCATGATTTGGTGCAGAGTCTGCCTATTACTGTAAGGAATTAAATAAAAAAACAGATGATTCCAGCTTTCCGACTCAGGTATCTTAGTAGTCCAATGACCATAACTCCCACAGCACCACACAGACTAATAGTAACTTGCGAATACTAACTTGTATCTGACAGTGTTCGGAGTTATCTTCCCCCGCCAGTCAATGGCGGACACCGACCTCAACGGCAGTCCTGACTCCACCGGCTCCTCTGACCTTGGTTCATCCATCAGCAGACCTTTTACCTCCAGGTTCTGTGATTCAGGTGACCTTGACCTGTTAAAGCACGAATGAGAACAATGCTTCTTATGTAAATAGGCATTTTGAGCCATACATTATACGTAATAGGATGTGACTCAAGTGACCTGTTCACAGCCCAAATGAGCAAAACACCTTACACATCCTGCTGTAGTGTACGGTGTCATCAACACTGAAGTCAGCTTACACTGGGGTGTTGGTGCGAGCCGATGGACTGTACTGCCGAGATGGTCTCTTCCCCGGTCGTGAGGTGGCTGGACGTGACACAGCAGGGGTTGATGGGATACCTGTAGCTGACGGCTGTCGGAACCCTGGCTGTGGGCGGGGCGCCACCTGGAGGAGGAATGATACTAGCATGACACAGACTGCAGAAATTCATGGGACAGTGAGTGAGTGAGAGTTTTACTCCAGTTTCTTTATGGACAGCTAGCATAGGACAGTGAGTGAGAGAGAGTTTTACTCCAGTTTCTTTATGGACAGCTAGCATAGGACAGTGAGTGAGTGAGAGTTTTACTCCAGTTTCTTTATGGACAGCTAGCATAGGACAGTGAGTGAGAGAGAGTTTTACTCCAGTTTCTTTATGGACAGCTAGCATAGGACAGTGAGTGAGAGAGAGTTTTACTCCAGTTTCTTTATGGACAGCTAGCATAGGACAGTGAGTGAGAGAGAGTTTTACTCCAGTTTCTTTATGGACAGCTAGCATAGGATTTTCAGGTGGTGCTGATGTGGTAAGGGGAGGGGAGGTGATTATGCATGTGTGTGTGGTTAAGGCGGTTTTGTAGTGCCAGTCGACTGAGATACGATGTCACAGTTTAACATGGATACCCAGGCAAGAAGGAGAGGCATGGTAACAACAAGTACCATTTTTTAACAGTATTACGGAACTAAGCTGTCACCAGCTGCCCCATGTTTCAAGCCACAGTAAAACAGTTTTCCAGTCATGGCCACCTTAGTCAAGAGTGTGGTTGACAGCATGATCAGCGTCCATTGAGAGTCAGCCAAGTCACACAGTGTGACCCAACTACCAGTCATTGGTCAGGGCTAAAACAACAAGCATGGAATACAGAGAACCTGGCCATGGTTTCCCACAGGATAGCCCTCCATAAAAACAAGAGAACGTAGGACAACCAGCATCACACAAGAACTAGCAGTTTTTGGACCTAGTAGCCCAGATCATCAGGATCACCTACCCTCTCCTTGTGGGCGGCCATGTTGCCGCCGACTGCATCCACTAGATTGACCAACATGTTAAACTTAACGTTGGTGTCACTCTCCACTTCCGGCGGCCTGTAAGAAAACAAATCAGAGGGAACGGTCGCCAAAACTGTGGACCTTATAATGAATATAAAGTGTCTTTAGTTACTTAACAAAACAAAATCAGGGCAAGGGACGTAACTCTGCACATGAACTGCAGCCTTGGCCACTTGTGACCTCTGTAAGAAGATATTATACAGACTCTTTATTACAAAACCTTTTGATATATACAAGACATCTTAATGACATTAGCATTCAGCATAAGGAACTACTGTTCAGTCACGATCTAGGGCATTGTTACAGGCTTGTAATCACCTCTCGTACTGCAGGAAGTGACGTCCCAGCTGTGGGGCACTAGCCGGCTTCCTGTCGTGTGGGGTGGGGGCTGACTTGGGCATTATGCCCTGAGGGGGTCTGTGGCGTGTCGAGCGGTACTTGGGGAGGCTGGTGGGGTAGTAGGCGTCCGTGGTATGGTAGAACTCCTCCAGTGTCTGTTGCAGCAGCTTGTTCTCATCTCTTCCTGCATCTGCAAACATAAGGTGATGTAGAGACACTATCCATCCTGTACAGACACTATCCCCCTCTACAGAAACTATCAAACCTGTACAGACACTATCCCCCTGTAGACACTATCCACCTTGTACATACACTATCCACCTTGTACAGACAGTATCCAACCCGTACAGACACTATCGACCCTGTACAGACACTATCCCCCTGTAGACACTATCCACCTTGTACAGACAGTATCCACCCTGTACAGACACAATCCACCCTGTACAGACACTATCCCCCTGTAGACACTATCCACCTTGTACAGACAGTATCCAACCTGTACAGAAACTGTCCACCCTGTACACACTATCCACCCTCTACAGACACTATCCCCCTTTTCAGACAGTATCCACCCTGTACAGACACAATCCACCCTGTACAGACACTTACCCTGTAGAGACACCACCCAACCCGTACAGACACTATCCAACCCATACAGACACTATCCAACCCGTACAGACACTATCCCCCTGTAGACACTATCCACCTTGTACAGACAGTATCCCCCCTCTACAGATACTATCGACCCTGTACAGACACTATCCCCCCTGTACAGACACTATCCCCCCTGTACAGACACTATCCACCCTGTACAGACACTATCCCCCCTGTACAGACACTATCCCCCTCTACATACGCTATCACCCTCTACAGACACTATCCCCCCTGTACAGACACTATCCCCCCTGTACAGACACTATCCACCCTGTACAGACACTATCCCCCCTGTACAGACACTATCCACCCTGTACAGACACTATCCACCCTTTACAGACACTATCCCCCTCTACATACGCTATCCCCCTCTACAGACACTATCCACCCTCTACAGACACTATCCACACTATCCACCCTCTACAGACACTATCCCCCCTCTACAGACACTATCCACCCTCTACAGACACTATCCACCCTGTACAGACTATCCACCCTCTACAGACACAATCCCCCCACTACAGACACTATCCACCCTCTACACACTATCCCCCTGTACAGACACTATCCTCCCTGTACACACTATCCACCCTCTACAGACACTATCCACCCTGTACAGACTATCCACCCTCTACAGACACTATCACCCTCTACAGACACTATCCCCCTGTACAGACACTATCCACCCTGTACAGACACTATCCACCCTGTACACACTATCCACCCTCTACAGACACTATCCACCCTGTACACACTATCCATCCTCTACAGACACTATCACCCTCTACAGACACTATCCCCCTGTACAGACACTATCCACCCTGTACACACTATCCACCCTCTACAGACACTATCCACCCTGTACACACACTATCTCCCGGTACAGACACTATCCACCCTGTACACACTATCCACCCTCTACAGACACTATCCACCCTGTACACACACTATCTCCCGGTACAGACACTATCCACCCTGTACACACTATCCACCCTCTACAGACACTATCCACTCTGTACACACTATCCACCCTCTACAGACACTATCACCCTCTACAGACACTATCCCCCTGTACAGACACTATCCACCCTGTACACACTATCCACCCTGTACAGACACTATCCACCCTGTACACACTATCCCCCCTCTCCAGACACTATCCACCCTCTACTGACACTATCCACCCTCTACAGACACTATCCACCCTCTACAGACACTATCCCCCTGTACAAACACTATCCACCCTGTACACACTATCCCCCCTCTACAGACACTATCCACCCTCTACAGACACTATCCACCCTCTACAGACACTATCCCCCCTCTACAGACACTATCCACCCTCTACAGACACTATCCACCCTGTACACACTGTCCACCCTCTACAGACACTATCCCCGCTCTACAGACACTATCCCCCTATGACCCACCGTCTGGCTGGACACCCTGCAGACACTGTTTGGTGTGCAGTTCGGGCATCTCGCCGTGTTCATGCGCCGTGTATCTTACATCACACAGCGTCCCACTCCGTCCAACAAACTCCAGCTTACCTGTAGAAGAAAAAGCCCATCTCACCTAACACAACAATGTAAGCCTGCTGAGACTGCAAGTACAGATAATGTTGTCAAATGTTTAAGTTTTCAGGTAGGTCATTCTCTGGAGCCTCTGGGAAACACAAATCTAAGAGGTTACTCACAGTGTGACATGGGTGTGGCAGGAGTAAATCAGAGGAAAGCAGAGGAAGAGGAGTAAAGTGGTGTAGAAAGGGGTAGAGTAGAGGAAAGAGGAGTTAAGCAGAGGAAAGCAAGGTAAAGCAGAGTAAAGGGGAGTAAAGCAGAGGAGAGCAGAGTAAAGCAGAGGAAGAGGAGTAAAGAGGATTAAGTGGTGTAGAAAGGGGTAGAGTAGAGGAAAGAGGAGTTAAGCAGAGGAAAGCAAGGTAAAGCAGAGTAAAGGGGAGTAAAGCAGAGGAGAGCAGAGAAAAGCAGAGGAAAGCGGAGTAAAGAGGATTAAGTGGTGTAGAAAGGGATAGAGTAGAGGAAAGAGGAGTTAAGCAGAGGAAAGCAAGGTAAAGCAGAGTAAAGGGGAGTAAAGCAGAGGAGAGCAGAGTAAAGCAGAGGAAAGCGGAGTAAAGAGGATTAAGTGGTGTAGAAAGGGATAGAGTAGAGGAAAGAGGAGTTAAGCAGAAGGAAGCAAAGTAAAACTGAGTTAAGTGGAGGAAAGCAGAGGAAATTGGAGGAAAGCTGAGTAAAGAGGAGTTAAGCAGAGGAAATTAGAGCAAAGCTGAGTTAAGTGGGGGAAAGCAGAGGAAAGAGGAGTAAAGCAGAAGAAAGCAGAGGAAAGTGGAGTAAAGCAGAAGAAAGCAGAGGAAAGTGGAGTAAAGCAGAAGAAAGCAGAGTAAAGCTGAGTTAAGAGGAGTAATGAGGTGTAAAGTGGTGTAGAAAGGGGTCGAGTAGAGGAGAGAGGAGTTTAGCAGAGGAAAGCAGAGTTAAGAGGAGTAATGAGGAGTAAAGTGGAGTAGAAAGGGGTAGAGTAGAGGAAAGAGGAGTTAAGCAGAGTAAAGGGGAGTTAAGCAGAAGGAAGGAGGGTAAAGCTGAGTTAAGTGGAGGAAAGCAGAGGAAAGTTGAGTAAAGCAAAGGCAAGCAGAGGAAAGCGGATTAAAGCAGAGGAAAGCAGAGTAAAGCTGAGTTAAGTGGGGGAAAGCAGAGTAAAGCAGAGGAAAGCTGAGTAAAGCGGAATAATGAGGAGTAAAGTGGTGTAGAAAGGGGTAGAGTAGAGGAAAGAGGAGTTAAGCAGAGGAAAGCAGAGGAAAGCAGAAGAAAGCAGATGAAAGTGGAGTAAAGCAGAGGAAAGCAGGGTAAAGCAGAGTAAAGGGGAGTTAAGCAGAAGGAAGTAGGGTAAAGCTGAGTTAAGTGGAGGAAAGCAGAGGAAATCGGAGGAAAGCAGAGTAAAGAGGAGTTAAGCAGAGGAAATTAGAGTAAAGTTGAGTTAAGTGGGGGAAAGCAGAGGAAAGCGGAGTAAAGCAGAAGAAAGCAGATGAAAGTGGAGTAAAACAGAGGAAAGCGGGGTAAAGCACTGACTGACGACGTCCTGGGTGTAGGCCACCTCCGTGTTGAAGTTCTTCCAGCTCTGCAGGATGTCCTCACTCAGCACTGGCGCCGTTGGCGGCCGCTGAAACATTCGACTCACTCCTGCAGAACAAAAAAAAATACATGACTTATAGAATATTCTGTACGAGCTTGTTTCTTTGCATGTTTGTATGTTTGTTTGCATGTTTGCATGTTTGCATGTTTGCATGTTCGTTGTTGTTTTACCACAGCAATGAGCAATATTCCAGCTAATACGATGCACAGCATTGGGCTGCAATGACATGCAATCAACCAAGTCTGACCACCCTGATCCATTTGGTCACCTCTTACAACCAGCATAGATTGCTGGGGACCTATTCTAACCCAGAATCCCATCAGTTCTATACAATCTAGACATGAAGTTCACCCGGCCATCAAAACAGAAGATTATCCAATGTCTGTGTTCCAACAAGATAGTGAGAGGAGTACCAGCTACAGCAACCAGAGAAAGAAAAGATGCATCTCACCCTGTCTGTCCCCATCCTCCTCAGGGGGGAGGGTCAGTGAGTGGTGGGCGTGGGGGTTTACCATACTCGCCACCGAATGAACCATCCGCTTGGGTAGACCAGCGTGAGTGTGAGAGATTTTTGTGGACTGAAACACAAAGTGTTAATTGCGAGGTATAACTGTTTACAGTATAACCAGCTGTCTACAACGAGGTAAAGCCAGCTGTTAACTAAGAAGTATAACCAGCTGTTTACAACAAGGTATAACCAGCTGTTAACTTAGAGGTATAGCCAGCTGTTTACAACGAGGTATAGCCAGGCGTTTACAACAAGGTATAACCAGCTGTTATAACTCATAGTTATCAGCTGGTTATATCTCTTAGTTAACAGCTGGTTATACCTTGTTGTAAACTGCTAGCTATGCCGAGTTTACAACAAGGTATAACCAGCTGTTAACTAAGAGGTATAGCCAGCTGTTAACTAAGAGGTATAACCAGCTGTTGAATGTGAGGTATAACCAGCTGTTACAACAAGGTATAGCCAGCTGTTAACTACGAGGTATAACCAGCTGTTAACTACGAGGTATAACCAGCTGTTTGCAACAAGGTATAACCAGCTGTTAACTAAGAGGTATAACCAGCTGTTAACAATGAGATATAACCAGCTGTTAACTACGAGGTATAACCAGCTGTTTACAAAAAAGTATAACCAGCTATTTCCAACAAGGTATAACCAGCTGTTAACTACTAAGTATAACCAGCTGTTAACTAAGAGATATAACCAGCTGTTAACAATGAGATATAACCAGCTGTTAACTACGAGGTATAGCCAACTGATAACTACGAGGTATAACCAGCTGTTCACTACGAGGTTTAGCCAGCTGTTAACTACGAGGTATAGCCAGCTGTTTACAATGAGGTATAGTCAGCTGTTTACAACAAGGCATAACCAGCTGTTTACAACAAGGCATAACCAGCTGTTTACAACGAGGTATAACCAGCTGATAACTACTAAATATAACCAGCTGTTAACAATGAGATATAACCAGCTGATAACTACGAGGTATAACCAGCTGTTTACAAAAAGGTATAACCAGCTGTTTACAACGAGGTATAACCAGCTGTTTACAACGAGGTATAACCAGCTGTTTACAACAAGGTATAACCAGCTGTTTACAACGAGGTATAACCAGCTGTTAACTACGAGGTATAGCCAGCTGTTAACAATGAGATATAACCAGTTGTTAACTACGAGGTATAACCAGCTGTTTACAAAAAGGTATAACCAGCTGTTTACATCGAGGTATAACCAGCTGTTTACAACGAGGTATAACCAGCTGTTTACAACAAAGTATAGCAGAGGTATAACCAGATGATAACTACTAAGTATAACCAGCTGTTTACAAAAAGGTATAACCAGCTGTTAACTACGAGGTATAACCAGATGTTAACTACGAGGTATAGCCAGTTGATAACTATGAGGTATAACCAGCTGTTTACAACAAGGTTTAACCAGCTGTTTACAACAAGGTATAACCAGCTGTTTACAACAAGGTATAGCAGAGGTATAACCAGATGATAACTACTAAGTATAACCAGCTGTTTACAAAAAGGTATAACCAGCTGTTAACTACGAGGTATAACCAGATGTTAACTACGAGGTATAGCCAGTTGATAACTATGAGGTATAACCAGCTGTTTACAAAAAGGTATAACCAGCTGTTTACAACAAGGTTTAACCAGCTGTTTACAACGAGGTATAACCAGCTGTTTACAACGAGGTATAACCAGCTGTTTACAACAAGGTATAGCAGAGGTATAACCAGCTGATAACTACTAAGTATAACCAACTGTTTACAAAAAGGTATAACCAGCTGTTAACTACGAGGTATAACCAGATGTTAACTACGAGGTATAACCAGATGTTAACTATAAGGTATAACCAGCTGTTTACAACAAGGTATAGCTGAGGTATAACCAGCTGATAACTACTAAGTATAACCAGCTCTTTACAAAAAGGTATAACCAGCTGTTAACTACGAGGTATAACCAGATGTTAACTATGAGGTATAGCCACTTGATAACTATGAGGTATAACCAGCTGTTAACTACGATGTATAACCAGATGTTAACTACGAGGTATAGCCAGTTGATCACTATGAGGTATAGCCAGCTGATCACTATGAGGTATAGCCAGTTGATAACTATGAGGTATAACCAGTTGTAAACTACGAGGTATAATCAGATGTTAACTACGAGGTATAGCCAGTTGATAACTACGAGGTATAGCCAGCTGATCACTATGAGGTATAGCCAGTTGATAACTCTGAGGTATAACCAGCTGTTAACTACGACGTATAACCAGATGTTAACTACGAGGTATAGCCAGCTGATCACTATGAGGTATAGCCAGTTGATAACTATGAGGTATAACCAGCTGTTAACTACGAGGTATAACCAGATGTTAACTACGAGGTATAACCAGATGTTAACTACGAGGTATAGCAGAGGTATAACCAGCTGATAACTACTAAGTATAACGAGGTAACTACGAGGTATAACCAGTTGTAAACTACGAGGTATAACCAGATGTTAACTACGAGGTATAGCCAGCTGATCACTATGAGGTATAGCCAGTTGATAACTATGAGGTATAACCAGCTGTTAACTACGACGTATAACCAGATGTTAACTACGAGGTATAGCCAGCTGATCACTATGAGGTATAGCCAGTTGATAACTATGAGGTATAACCAGCTGTTAACTACGAGGTATAACCAGATGTTAACTACGAGGTATAACCAGATGTTAACTACGAGGTATAGCAGAGGTATAACCAGCTGATAACTACTAAGTATAACGAGGTAACTACGAGGTATAACCAGTTGTAAACTACGAGGTATAACCAGATGTTAACTACGAGGTATAGCCAGCTGATCACTATGAGGTATAGCCAGTTGATAACTATGAGGTATAACCAGCTGTTAACTACGAGGTATAACCAGCTGTTAACTATGAAGTATAACCAGCTGTTAACTACGAGGTATAACCAGATGTTAACTACAAGGTATAACCAGATGTTTACTACGAGGTATAGTCAGCTGATCACTATGAGGTATAGCCAGTTGATAACTATGAGGTATAACCAGCTGTAATAAGGATGAGACAGGACGTACCTGTTCCCTGAGAGGGGTGAAGCGGACGGAGGGGGTCTCGCAGGGAAAGTCATGGACCCCCGGGGTGTGGACACCCTGGATGTTCTCAGTAAGACCATCATTGTCATTCATGGGAGTCCCAGCCAACTCCAAGTCCATCTCTGTGTCTGAAAAGTCACCATCTTGGTTGCTATAGGCAACAGGAGAGTGAGGCGAGCTGGAAGTGGCAGGTTGCTGGAAACAAAATAGAATTACTGTATGTTACCATGGTAACAAAATCAGATGAAGACTAATGTGTACGCTATCTGTAAATGGTCACTTGACCAACCAACCAACCAACCAACCAACCAAACAGCTAACCAACCAGCCAACCAAAATTCAAGCTTATTGTCATATCAACTAAATTAACCTCCCACTGAAGTTCAGTAAGAAATGAAGGCACACAATGGACCCTGAATCACTCCTTGCCCACTACAGGGGTCGGTGATGAGAGGAGCTGACAGGGTCTCCATACAGAAAGAAATCTACAGGGGTCTGTGATGAGTGGAGCAGACAGGATCTCCATACAGAAAGACATCTACAGGGGTCGGTGATGAGAGGAGCTCACAGGATCTCCATACGGAAACACATCTACAGGGGTCGGTGATGAGAGGAGCAGACAGGATCTCCACACAGAAAGACAACTACATCGGTGATGAGTGGAGCAAACAGAATCTCCGTACACAAAGACATCTACAGGGGTCAGTGATGAGTGGAGCTGACAGGATCTCCATACAGAAAGACATCTACAGGGGTCGGTGATGAGTGGAGCAGACAGGATCTCCACACAGAAAGACATCTACAGGGGTCAGTGATGAGTGGAGCAGACAGGATCTCCACACAGAAAGACATCTACAGGGGTCAGTGATGAGTGGAGCAGACAGGATCTCCATACAAAAAGACATCTACAGGGGTCGGTGATGAGTGAAGCAGACAGGATCTCCATACAGAAAGACATATACAGGGGTCGATGATGAGAGGAGCAGACAGGATCTCCATACAGAAAGACATCTACATCGGTGATGAGTGGAGCAGACAGGATCTCCATACAGAAAGACATCTACATCGGTGATGAGTGGAGCAGACAGGATCTCCATACAGAAAGACATATACAGGGGTCGATGATGAGAGGAGCAGACAGGATCTCCATACAGAAAGACATCTACATCGGTGATGAGTGGAGCAGACAGGATCTCCATACAGAAAGACATCTACATCGGTGATGAGTGGAGCAGACAGGATCTCCATACAGAAAGACATATACATCGGTGATGAGTGGAGCAGACAGGATCTCCATACAGAAAGACATCTACATCGGTGATGAGTGGAGCAGACAGGATCTCCATACAGAAAGACATCTACATCGGTGATGAGTGGAGCAGACAGGATCTCCATACAGAAAGACATCTACATCGGTGATGAGTGGAGCAGACAGGATCTCCATACAGAAAGACATCTACATCGGTGATGAGTGGAGCAGACAGGATCTCCATACAGAAAGACATATACAGGGGTCGATGATGAGAGGAGCAGACAGGATCTCCATACAGAAAGACATCTACATCGGTGATGAGTGGAGCAGACAGGATCTCCATACAGAAAGACATCTACATCGGTGATGAGTGGAGCAGACAGGATCTCCATACAGAAAGACATCTACATCGGTGATGAGTGGAGCAGACAGGATCTCCATACAGAAAGACATCTACATCGGTGATGAGTGGAGCAGACAGGATCTCCATACAGAAAGACATCTACATCGGTGATGAGTGGAGCAGACAGGATCTCCATACAGAAAGACATCTACATCGGTGATGAGTGGAGCAGACAGGATCTCCATACAGAAAGACATCTACATCGGTGATGAGTGGAGCAGACAGGATCTCCATACAGAAAGACATATACAGGGGTCGATGATGAGAGGAGCAGACAGGATCTCCACACAGAAAGACATCTACAGGGGTCAGTGATGAGTGGAGCAGACAGGATCTCCATACAGAAAGACATCTACAGGGGTCGGTGATGAGAGGAGCTCACAGGATCTCCATACGGAAACACATCTACAGGGGTCGGTGATGAGAGGAGCAGACAGGATCTCCACACAGAAAGACAACTACATCGGTGATGAGTGGAGCAAACAGAATCTCCGTACAGAAAGACATCTACAGGGGTCAGTGAAGTTCAGTAAGAAATGAAGGCACACAATGGACCCTGAATCACTCCTTGCCCACTACAGGGGTCGGTGATGAGAGGAGCTGACAGGGTCTCCATACAGAAAGAAATCTACAGGGGTCTGTGATGAGTGGAGCAGACAGGATCTCCATACAGAAAGACATCTACAGGGGTCGGTGATGAGAGGAGCTCACAGGATCTCCATACGGAAACACATCTACAGGGGTCGGTGATGAGAGGAGCAGACAGGATCTCCACACAGAAAGACATCTACAGGGGTCAGTGATGAGTGGAGCAGACAGGATCTCCATACAGAAAGACATCTACAGGGGTCGGTGATGAGAGGAGCTCACAGGATCTCCATACGGAAACACATCTACAGGGGTCTGTGATGAGAGGAGCAGACAGGATCTCCACACAGAAAGACAACTACATCGGTGATGAGTGGAGCAAACAGAATCTCCGTACAGAAAGACATCTACAGGGGTCAGTGATGAGTGGAGCAGACAGGATCTCCATACAGAAAGACATCTACAGGGGTCGGTGATGAGTGGAGCAGACAGGATCTCCACACAGAAAGACATCTACAGGGGTCAGTGATGAGTGGAGCAGACAGGATCTCCACACAGAAAGACATCTACAGGGGTCAGTGATGAGTGGAGCAGACAGGATCTCCATACAAAAAGACATCTACAGGGGTCGGTGATGAGTGAAGCAGACAGGATCTCCACACAGAAAGACATCTACAGGGGTCGGTGATGAGTGGAGCAGACGGGATCTCCATACAGAAAGACATATACAGGGGTCGATGATGAGAGGAGCAGACAGGATCTCCATACAGAAAGACATTTACATCGGTGATGAGTGGAGCAGACAGGATCTCCATACAGAAACACATCTACATCGGTGATGAGTGGAGCAGACAGGATCTCCATACAGAAAGACATATACAGGGGTCGATGATGAGAGGAGCAGACAGGATCTCCATACAGAAAGACATCTACATCGGTGATGAGTGGAGCAGACAGGATCTCCATACAGAAAGACATCTACATCGGTGATGAGTGGAGCAGACAGGATCTCCATACAGAAAGACATATACATCGGTGATGAGTGGAGCAGACAGGATCTCCATACAGAAAGACATCTACATCGGTGATGAGTGGAGCAGACAGGATCTCCATACAGAAAGACATCTACATCGGTGATGAGTGGAGCAGACAGGATCTCCATACAGAAAGACATATACATCGGTGATGAGTGGAGCAGACAGGATCTCCATACAGAAAGACATCTACATCGGTGATGAGTGGAGCAGACAGGATCTCCATACAGAAAGACATATACAGGGGTCGATGATGAGAGGAGCAGACAGGATCTCCATACAGAAAGACATCTACATCGGTGATGAGTGGAGCAGACAGGATCTCCATACAGAAAGACATCTACATCGGTGATGAGTGGAGCAGACAGGATCTCCATACAGAAAGACATATACATCGGTGATGAGTGGAGCAGACAGGATCTCCATACAGAAAGACATCTACATCGGTGATGAGTGGAGCAGACAGGATCTCCATACAGAAAGACATCTACATCGGTGATGAGTGGAGCAGACAGGATCTCCATACAGAAAGACATCTACATCGGTGATGAGTGGAGCAGACAGGATCTCCATACAGAAAGACATCTACAGGGGTCGATGATGAGAGGAGCAGACAGGATCTCCATACAGAAAGACATCTACATCGGTGATGAGTGGAGCAGACAGGGTCTCCATACAGAAAGACATCTACAGAGGTCAGTGATGAGAGGAGCAGACAGGATCTCCATACAGAAAGACATCTACAGGGGTCAGTGATGAGTGAGGCAGACAGGGTCTCCATACAGAAAGACATCTACAGGGGTCAGTGATGAGTGAGGCAGACAGGATGTCCGTACAGAAAGACATCTACAGGGGTCAGTGATGAGTGGAGCAGACAGGATCTCCGTACAGAAAGACATCTACAGGGGTCAGTGATGAGTGGAACAGACAGGGTCTCCATACAGAAAGACATCTACAGGGGTCAGTGATAAATGAGGCGGACAGGATGTCCGTACAGAAAGACATCTACAGGGGTCAGTGATGAGTGGAGCAGACAGGATATCTGTACAGAAAGACATCTACATCGGTGATGAGTGGAGCAGACAGGGTCTCCATACAGAAAGACATCTACATCGGTGATGAGAGGAGCAGACAGGATGTCCATACAGAAAGACATCTACAGGGGTCGGTGATGAGAGGAGCAGACAGGATGTCCATACAGAAAGATATCTACAGGGGTCAGTGATGAGTGGAACAGACAGGGTCTCCATTCAGAAAGACATCTACAGGGGTCAGTGATGAGTGAGGCAGACAGGATGTCCGTACAGAAAGACATCTACAGGGGTCAGTGATGAGTGAGGCAGACAGGATGTCCGTACAGAAAGACATCTACAGGGGTCAGTGATGAGAGGAGCAGACAGGATCTCCATACAGAAAGACATCTACAGGGGTCAGTGATGAGTGAGGCAGACAGGATGTCCGTACAGAAAGACATCTACAGGGGTCAGTGATGAGTGAGGCAGACAGGATGTCCGTACAGAAAGACATCTACAGGGGTCAGTGATGAGTGGAACAGACAGGGTCTCCATACAGAAAGACATCTACAGGGGTCAGTGATGAGTGGAGCAGACAGGATCTCCATACAGAAAGACATCTACAGGGGTCGATGATGAGAGGAGCAGACAGGATCTCCATACAGAAAGACATCTACATCGGTGATGAGTGGAGCAGACAGGGTCTCCATACAGAAAGACATCTACAGAGGTCAGTGATGAGAGGAGCAGACAGGATCTCCATACAGAAAGACATCTACAGGGGTCAGTGATGAGTGAGGCAGACAGGGTCTCCATACAGAAAGACATCTACAGGGGTCAGTGATGAGTGAGGCAGACAGGATGTCCGTACAGAAAGACATCTACAGGGGTCAGTGATGAGTGGA